TGTCTCTCTTGTTGCCTGCTTTCGCTGGTCGCAGGATTTGGGGGGCTGGGAACTGGAAACACCACAGCTGGTGGGTTTAGTTTTGGAGGGTTTGGTTTAAATGCCAACCCAGCAGCTGTCAGCTTTAATGTGGGGTGCTTTGGTACAGCAACCACCACTGGCACTGTATTCAATTTTGGTAATAGCCTTGCTAGCACAGGTATAGACGACTTTTGAATGACCCCTCGGTACAGTTTGTGTTTGTTCACATTAACACACATTTTCTTCTGTGTTCACGTCGCTGTGGTGCAGTGCTTTTATTTTATCTCTTCTAGTGATTTCTCTCATTACACCTGACTCATTAATTCCATTTGCATGAAAAGAAAAAGAATGACTGTAATATTCGTTGAAAGATCTGTTTTTAAACAAACAACAATTTCTGTGTCACATTCATGATTTTCTTTTCATGTCAAAAAAATCATTGATTTCAGCCTTTCACCTTCTTTGCTGTGTGTGCCTCATCCTTTACCCACACGATGCCTTTGCTTTATATTCAGGCACTTTCGGTGGCTTTGGAGCAACGACAACTGCTGCTGCCGTACCACAAGGGTCTACATTTAGTTTCACCAATCCCTCAAACACCACCGGTGAGTTGAGACCTTGCTTTGAATGAGTCAGATGTTTACACAATTAAGAAACATCTGTGACTTTACATGGAAGAAATGGTTGTTTGTTTTTAATCATGTAGTTCAGTCAGAAAATGTTTCCAAAATATGCAAGACTACATTTTATAGTCAGTTAGTTTTTGTATTAAAATATTTTTTTTGTGCAAAAACATTGAGATTCGTTTTATTTTATTTTTTTAAGTTTATTGAATTGAAATAAAACAAACATGTATGAATCCGAATTTCAATCACTCTGTCTGGAAGAAACTGTGCTGGTTTGAATTAATCTTTTTTCAAACCTTGAATATTAGGAGATAAATGCTTTGCCATTCGTGTGCTTTTTCAGGAGGCCTTTTTAGTAACACACAGAACAAAGGCTTTGGATTCTCCACTGGTCTCGGTACCGGCACCGGTGCTGCAGCCACTGGATTTGGCGCTACATTAGGATCAACAGGTCTAGGTGGTTTTGGAGGCTTTAACATCCAGTCAACTCAGCCACAACAAGGTAAAAGAACTTTATTTTGAAAAGCTGTTCTCTAGTCATATCCTAAGGAGATATTTTCAATTTTTGCTGAATTATTTCAGCTTCTTTATATCTGCACTATAAGCAGAAAGACGCAAAGGCTTGAAAAATATACATTTCAGGAAACTTACCATGAAAAGTTGGCCAGAGGTTTTTTGCCAAGATTCCAAACTTTAAATGGGGAATAAATTTAAAATTGTTCAATTTAACAAATCGTGTTTGTCTTGACAAAGGAAGCTATATATGCAAAAGATGTTTAAATACATAAAAATAAATATATATATTTTCCCAAAGTATATTTAATTCCTAATAAAGAAATTAGAAGTGTGTTAGATTGCAGTTTTTCTCCTGTTTATGTGGTTAAATTTGAAAGTTAATTACTATCAAATTTTAACAACACAATAAAATACCAATGGTCTCAATCATTTCAAAAATAGGACAGGCTCACTCATAGCATCTGGTTACCTTGGTATGCCCTCTTTCCAACGACAGAGGGCGCTGGCAAGACTTGACCTCTGCTCAAACGTCATCACGCGACACTCTGTTCAGCCTAGCCAATGTAAACTACATAAAAAATTCAGATTTTTTTTTTAAATTTACATATTTATGTCATTACGTTAAAATGATGTGTTTTTTCTAAATGTAATTCAATCTTTTATTCCCCACCGTCACCAGGAAGCTTGTTTGGCCCACAGGCCCATCAGCAGGGTCAGAACCAGCCCACGCAGCTTTTCCAGCAGGTCACCGCTCTCTCGGCTCTCACCTTGTTAGGAGACGAACGTGACTCCATCTTGGCCAAGTGGAACCAGCTGCAGGCTTACTGGGGCACAGGCAAAGGCTTCTTCAGCAACAACAACCCCCCTGTAGAATTTAACCAGGAGAACCCATTCTGCCGGTTCAAGGTCAGAGACGGTCTCCTCGGTGCTGCCCTTTGAATTGTCTGATCTTTTCGAGGCTGAATGACTGATGTGTGTGTGTGTTCTCAGGCTGAATGACTGATGTGTGTGTGTGTGTGTTCTTCAGGCCGTGGGCTATAGCTGTGTTCCACTCAGTAAAGACGAGGATGGGTTAGTCATTTTGATTCTGGGCAAAAGGGAAGCGGACGTGCGGGCCCAGCAGCAGCAGCTGGTGGAGTCTCTACATAAGGTCCTGGGAAACCACCAAACACTCGCTGTCAATGTAGATGATGTCAAAGCTCTACCAAGTGACCAGTAGGTGTCAGTCACACTTTACACACTGTGTACTAAAACTGTGAATATTTAATAAAACCCATTCACTTCCAAGAGTAAATCTTTTTTTTTTTTCTCTCTCTCTCTCAGGACGGAGGTGATCGTTTATGTGGTGGAGCGTTCCCTCAATGGCACCTCCAAGCGAATCCCTGCCACCACGCTCTTCAACTTCCTGGAGCAGGCCAACATCAAGGTGCAGCTCTCACAGATCGGAGTGGCCAGGTCTGTTCCCCGCACAGAGCTGTCTCCAGCTCAGCTCAAACAGCTGCAGCAGAACGCCCCCACAGGTACAGTACACACACCTGTCCACGTCACAGCTAACGTTCTTCTTCACTCATCTGGAGTGAAAGTTAAAGTCTAGTCTTTCATTATTAGGTGTGGACCCCATAATTTGGGAGCAAGCCAAGGTTGACAACCCTGACCCTGAGAAGTGAGTTGGTTAATGGTTTTGTTCACTGTATATTATCTGTAGCCAAACGTACCAAGTTCTGTTCATACGACATGATGTAACTCGATTTTTGCTGTAACTCTCAGACTTTACATAAGTACCTGCGCCATTCACCTACGCTAACACAGGGGTAACATCATAATCTAGGACGTAAAAACATCAGAAGAGTCTTGACTTATGCCTG